GGACGTACATCTTTAAAATAAGAATGATAACTGCTCTGTGGTTCATCTTTCTTAACGATGGTAACTTTGATTGCCGATGAGCCTTCCATGAAAATTTTTTTTTCAAGCACTGCTTTTCTTCTTTGATTAAAAATTTTGATTATGTGTTTCAATTTCAAATAACCCACTGCTTATACGCTTGAATCTTTCAAGTGCACATATATGAGAAGAAAAGATGAAAAAAAAATTAGTTCATTAAAAATATGCGTTACAATTGAAAGTAAACAATTTTTTCGCATGCCAAGCTTTTCGTACGCAATCTTGTCTTTTCTAGTTACAAGAGCAAATTCACTACTATCAAAGAACTGCCATTACTGTTCTCTTTGTGCCGCAAACATATATTATTGGTAGGTACTTTGAATAGATTGAATTTTAACAGGTGTAGGTGTGGGTATATGTGGAGTGTAGCTGTGACTTTTATGTGGTCAGTGTGAAATATGAGCGTTGCTGTGGATGTAGGGTATGGAAGACTTATATTTGCGTCCACGCTCACACCCGCACTCATCCGAAAATAAGTGGTTCTGCCACAGGACATCATATTTGAAGTTCGTTTCCTTTCTCCAGTTGTCTATCAAAGCATCATCGATGAATTACCAATTTATAGTCAAGAACTAACAAAAATAAAGATATGCTCTCTATTTCATACATGATATTTTTTGTTGTCGATATTGAATTACATTGCAACAGTAAAGGATAATAATTTTTTTTGCCTCATATACTAACTATTGATTGCCATTCATATGTGTTTTCAAAATTAATTTTGGTTTTCACTTACATTTTTTTTCTCATTTGCATACATAGTGCTGCAACATCATTCACTTGAAGATTACTTGTTTATGCAATTCATGAAAGAAATGGAATTCAATCAATGTTTTTTTTTCCATGGATACGTTTTCCTCTGGTAATAAGAATGCATAACATCATCATTGATTTTATTTCAAAATAAAAAAAAAAAAAGTTGAATACTAAAGTTTTCATACGTATCCTCTAAGTTATCAATAAATTCACAAATCTAAATGAAGATTAGTTTGATGAATAAGTACAGCTTCGAAAAATATGGAATGAAAAATTGAACCGAGATCGATATAAATTCATAGCATGTGGGATATATAAATATTTATGGTCACCGACCTATTACCAATGCCCGGCCACAGTTAGACTTGGATGCTGATCCCGATAAAATTTCAATAAATTAGGTTCGAATTCGGAATTTAGAAGTGGACGGTCTCGATCTATTCGTATTATGATCCTTTAGATGATAACTATGTTATACTTTCAAGGGAGAATGTGAATGAGGATGCAAGTCGTGATTAGAAATCTACAAAATCACTTTTTCTTCGGCCCGGCTATCGGTTGAAATTTATTTCTGATCCCAATTTCATTTTGAAAAAAAAAAAGCATTTTTTTAAATAATCTGTATAATTCTTCTAATATACAATAAAAATTTTATGAATGGTTTCGATTCTTCAATAGTATAGTTATCCCTTTATATGCATGTATTAGAACAAGGAATATAAAAAATCATTCTTTTTGTTCCAGTCAGAATCTTGTTTGGTTTCGACCATGTATCTTACAAATGGAAGTTAGCCACTGAGAGTCTCTATTTTCAATCAGCTTTATGTCAGTTTGTAGAGCTTAATGAGCTGATTACGATTGCATAAGATGTCATTCTCCATTGTCTTTTATTGAAGATAAAGAGTGATCTCAAATTCACAAAAAAAAATGATTGAAAATTGTTAGTATGCATCCACACAATCAACATAAAAAGAAATCCTAGCCACATCTATATGTTGAATATCTCCATACCATTAATAATATAGACATACGAAATTCATGGAATTTCTCACAGCTGATCAAGATTCCCTGAAAGTACTATTTTAAAGATGCAGTAATTACAGCCTTGTTAAATATCTCATTTTCAATAGTCTACTTCCTAGTTAGTTGTGTTTTTTCATGTTGATATGGAAATAATTTTTTATTATAAGATAATCAAGATTCAAAGCATAGAATAAAGACTACATGACGAATTATTGATGAATTATTTACTGGTAGAGATTAACCTGAAGATCGAAATGTAAAATTTGCAAATGTTTGGCTTATCAAAAAATGTATGGAGATTGTAAAACAAGTGCGAGAAGAAAAATTCTTAATTTTCAAATTCATAAAAAAAAGAGATTGAGAAGGAATGCAAAAAAAAAACTTGTGATGATTGTAGAAAACATGATTGACAAAATTTCTCGTAGATTAGACGAATTGATAATTAATGACGAAAGAAAAACTGCATCATATTTAAAAAAGATATTTTCGCGATTGTTAGCTGAATACATTGTCCTACACGTTTCATTTATTTATATCCCTCGTATTTAAATAGATAATGTCATCGAACAATATACTATCTAAAACATTGTCTGAAGTACTCGAAGCTCATATAGATATGATTCGATAGGAATCACCCTTTGTTCTCATATAAAGCAATATTCGTTGAGACTCAGAATTTGTGAGACACCCTTTGTATGTATGAATGATTATTAAGTAAACAAATAAATAAAACCATATGGACAATACAATTGGCATTAATAACAAATTTCTATGTTGTTTAATCTGTTCCATATTAACTTGGATCGTACAATAAATGAAGTCGAAACTCTTTAATATGATTAACATTGTTAAGAAGCCATTTTAACTAAAGAAATTCTAAATCATTATAAACGAAACTGCTCAATATAAAAATTTCCGAATTTGATATCTATTTCATATAGAAACAATTATTATTTTAAAAATTGCAACTCGCTTGAACAATCAAAATAGAAATATAGAAGATGAAAATAAGCTATTTACATTACTCTCATTATCTTCTTTATTAAAAAGCTGATCTACCACCCAAGAGATTAGAATAAAAAATCTACTATGGTTAACTATTTTAATTGGATTTTTATAATATCAGCAAACGCTTGAAACCGTCACTATATCATCCATCTCTGTTAGAAATTACTCCAAATGGTTTATTTCGTGAATTTACATTCCATTTGATTATATTGAGACAAAATATAAAATCACAAAACAGACATCGAGATTCTTTTTATCATTAGCAGAAAAATCAATAGCTTTTTAGAAAATGACTTCTAAAGATAACAGTTAAGATCGATGTTTGATTATTGAACATTAATTTTAATAAAAAGATGATCGTTTCAGTTATAAATCAATGAAAATGTGGAATACAATTGTCTCTTTCACTTTTGTTAAAACTAATATAAAATACATAATATGAATTATTTCTACCAGAGAATATTTCAAGGAAGAAAAGTATAATTCAAATATTTAATATCATTTCGGATTCTAATTCAGATTGTTTATGGAAGATTCATCTTTTTTTTTTTGCACGAAAATCGAATATCTAAAAGTCTTCTAATGAAAATTGTTCAATTTTTTCGTTTCACATTCAATGAATAAATATTTAAGACTCGGTCCATATATATTTTACTCTAATTCACTTTGTTGAATTCCAGTGCATTAAGATGGACTCATTCCATGAACTAACAGAATTCAGTAGAATCTAAAAGCATTCGTTACAATTCATCGGAATGTTCAAATTTTCAATTTACTTTTTCTTTTTTGCATTCGTCGTATAAATGCACTATTGGTTCCATTTAAGTAAAATTGACTAACGTTCTTTTCTTTTATTTACTGTTGATTACATGTTTCGACACTTTTCTCATATCTTTACTATTTTTTAACCTTTTTTTATTCATTAGTACAATGAAATGTTACAGAATGAACTATTCGGCTTTCTTTTACGATAAACTCCCCCATACCATAATTCGATTTGCTGAGGTATGTGAGCATTCGAGCAATATCCAACATACCTGAAACAGCAGTTTTTGTTCCATGTGGTACAAATAAACAGCGATTTTCTTCTAGAGCTCAATCGGTGAATATACCTGTTTTCTGATCGATTTAAACTAATCAGATAGTAAATATCCAATCTAAAGTTTTTATCAAATACTATGTCATGAGAATATTCAAAAAAAAGAATTTTTAAGGCGAATATTTCAGAATTTTAGTTGTTTTGACTTTCAGAAAATTAAAAGTACACGAATAGTTCCTATGTAAATGATTTTTTTGTGTTGATTTTTTGAAACATCGTGATTAATCGTCAAAAATAATGTGACTTTGACGACATGGCTAGTTAATACATATGAATATGATAGCATAGATTTTCTAATGGCAAAGACGATAGTTTTTTCTCTTTTATGTAAGTGTCATATATAAACTATGATTCAAAGATCTATTCTAATTATTTCAATAATGATAAAGCTAATATTTATTAGTTAAAACCTTCTATAATGAGAAAAATAAACTATGTTTTGTTTTCTATTTCAATAATAGCTTATATTACTCGTTAGCTAACCTTGATTCGCTGTACGATTTTATTTTAATACGTTGTATGAATCCATTAGTGTTATTCAATCCGAAGACTATTTATTGTCCTTCGTTTCAGTGGTGAATACTTTCATTGTCAATGAAACTGCTACTTTATGTATCGCATCTATTTGAATTATTCAAATAAAATACCCCGCGGCAAGGACATTCTTTTTTTTTAGATTAATACTCGAACAGCATTGTTTCTATTTATTTAATAGAAAAACTGCTTTAGAACACAAAAAGAAAAAGAAAAGACTGATTTTTTAAATATAATTTTGCGGATGAGCCCCTTCAACATTTTGTATTCCAGGTATTTTTTGGTAAAACATGATTGATGCTTGAATGTAATTTGAATGACGATTGCTGTTCGTATTGGATCATATCTATCAAAAATAATTATGAAATTTTTTTCTGCATTGACGGTGAGTGTAAATATATTTATTGTAGCCATTTCGATTGCCATTTTTTGCATCTATATATGCCAATATATCTCTAAATTCAAAGGAATCTTATTATTTTATTTTTTCAATCTGTTATACTTACAATACTGCTGAATTTTCTCCATTCATATCTCTTAATGTAACCATATGATAATTAACAGGTATTTCTAAATCATTATGTAATGTATACTTCCATTTTATTTTGCAAGCATCACAACATGGCAGAGTATAAATACTGTGCCAGTAAACATCCTAGAAAAAAAAAACATTTTAAAATATGATCATAATATTGTGCGGTTTCTACAGATGAAAAAGAACTACGAAAAACAGTGAGTACTAAGACTATTCAACAAGATTTATTTTAAATGTAACCGTTCGAAAGATTCCAAATCGTAGAAAATAAAAACTATTATCAGATTTGCAAAGATAAAAACTACAGAAAACAAAAATTCTAGCTTTGCAACATCTAAACCACACAGGTATAATTTGATTTAGAGTACACCCATGGAAAAAGGTTGAAAAAGAACGAATAAAAGACGAGTTGTTGAAATAAAAAAATGTATTCGTAAGATGCTGTTAGCATTCTTCACATGAGAGAAAACATTTTTTCTGCAAGAAAGTCGTGTTTCTCTCTGTTAGGAGAACACGTTCAGAAACAAGATCGTCCGTACGCAACAGAAAGACGTTCCAAAAGAACGCTAAAAATGTTTCCAAGACGCATTGCATCTTTCCGAGAATGCGTTCATATACGTTGTTTATGAACTGTTTGTTATAAGAGGCCCATAGAAAAAAGAGGATGAAAAAGAACGGATAAAAACATATTTTGTCCTTGAGAGAACACATTTCTTCTGCAAAAAAAAAGCGCGTTTCTCTCTATCTAGAATGCAATCAGACAAAAAGTCAGTTTCAGGCAACAACAGCCTGTTCCAAAAAAACGCTAGAGATGTTTTCAGAACGCGTTGCATTTTTCCAAGAACACATTCATGGCCGCTTTTTTGTATGAATCTTTTTCATAGTTAGGTTTTGTTGCATTATTTCCAACTTTTGAGTTTGTCACTAGAAAAAGCATCAAAAGTTGTGTCTGTAATAAATATTTCAGACTGATTTGATATCATAATGAACAGATATACATGTATGACTTTTCGCATATTTTGGTGTTTCAAGCACCTCCTTTGACAAAAAGTACATAAAAAGAATGTCCATGAACGTGTGATTAACAAAATGCAACGCGTTCCAGAAACACCTCTAGTGTGCTTCTGGACAGTCTTTTTGTTGCCTAAAGACGATTTTTTTTTCTGAGCGCGCTCCTAATAGAGAGAAACATAGTTTTTTTTGCAGAAAAAATGCATTCAAAAAGAATGCTAAAACATTTTATGAATACATTTTTTGTATTCCAACTACTCTTTTTTATCCGTTGTTTTCCACCCTTTTTTCTCCATGAGCATAGAACGATAGAGTATATCATTCTATAAAAATTCAGCCATCGTCGAGTTCTCTGCGACAAATTTCGGCTTAGATACAGTAATTTGATTGAAGTTCAAAATATGATTTTCTATAGAAAATCGAAAAAACCACTTTAAGGACGCCAGTAGGATTGTCTTATCTCAACTAAAAAAAACTACGGAAAAATTGGAGATGTCTGAATTTATAAGTAGTTTTTGGCTCTATCCTTCTATATAATCTAAATAAAACTATATTTTTCGTTTCTAGGTACTGAAAAGCTATGGTTTGGATTTTCTAGAATGTCTATCATTGGTAAGCTGATAATAATTTTTCTTCTTTTATATTGCTTCTGAAAATAAATTTTTCTATTCCAAATATTACGTAGGCTCTTTCTATTACTTATAGCAGCAGAAAAAAATTGAAAATAAATGTAGTTGAATGATTTTGTTACTTGATGTATGCGTTTACTTACACAAACTTCTTTTTTGTTTGGTCGAAACGACATATCTTGACAAGTTGTTGTAGCTAGAACATAATGATGTGCTCGACTTCGACACTGTTGTATGGTACCAATATATGGATATTTTGTAATAACTGTACCATTGCAAATAGCCATTTTAAGGATGTCATATGAATCGATCATACCAGTCTCTTCTAGAAACTAAAACAAACAATATATTATATTTCAATGTAAGAAAATGAGTATGTACTTACTTCACGGACACCTCCTTCTTTTATTGTTTCTCCTAAATTAGGTTTTCCTTTAGGAAATCCAATATTAAGACGCTTGAAAGGTTTATCACTTATATGTGAAATAACTAAAACCTAAAAACAAGTATTTCAAACTTTTTCAATTTTGAATAATCTTTCAAAATTAACATACCTTTTCTGCACTCTCTTCCTTAATTGACAGTAAAGTCACACCAACACGTGGACCCCAAATTCTCTCTTTACACCAGACTCTCCAAATATAGTTTGCACATTGTGTACGTATTCTTGCGATTGTAGGAGTAACCAGTTTATACTTAGCTGTTGTGTCTCTAAACGCTAAAATAATAATATAGAGAATTTTCTTTCTTCAAGAAAAGAAATTAATATTCACCAGAATATTTGTCATCCATTGATTCATCATCAGAAAGTAGATAAGAGATCCATTCTTGATAAATTATATCTAGTGTTGTCACTATCGCTTGAAAAAATATACGATACGTTTTATCTTTATTTCAAGTAAAAAAAAAAAGAAGTTTACCAGGAACAGCAAAATTCCTCCAATCCTCTTTATTATGTTGTCTTCTAAGTTTTCGTGCATCGATATCCTCATAAAATCGATCATCCATTGTAAATAATTCATGAAGTATTTGTTTGTATATATACTCCTCAATTATATATATAATCGGTCCATTCAATCGTTCTAAATCTTCTGAATAAAGCCAATATTTTATACGTCTAATACATGATAAAGATAAAAATTACAAATTTTTCATAAAATTTTTAATTAGAAAACAAATTTTACCTTTTTATATTATCTTCACAACAGCTAGAGATAGAAAAGAATTTTTTCCCACATGAAGCCATTGAATATTTTATATATCTAAAATAATATATATTTATTTTCTGATTTATTTTTCCTGTAATAGAAATATAGTAACTGATGTGTATTACTAGAATAAAAAGAACTATATGAGTGTTTAAACGCTATCGTAAATATATGACAACGTTGCATCGGAAGATGAGGAGTCTTGGAAATTTCCAACTCAGTCATTCTGTACTCCTAGTAAATCGAGAAAAAACAATAGTATATGTTTTGCATCGACTAGTACCTTTGTCATCAGTTGCAAATAGTTAAGTTTTAGAGAAATGATCTTCAAAACATGATTTGTTCTCGTATAAAATAAAAAAATGATTCAAATTATTCAGTATTCTTTGAAAAACAAATGAAAAAAATTTTTCTATGGCTAATAGTTCTTTCAAACAAAAACAATGAGGCATCGTAGTGAAAAATGTTTCGTTTATAATCGTAAGCTATTCCACTAGGAGTCATGTTGAGGTACAAGGAAACTTTTATAATTCATGACTACTATATATTAAATAGTGAAATAGAGAAATGTGCTTGATTATATGTATTTTAAACCATATTCTATAACTAAATTTTCTTAATATTACTCCATGAATTAGATGATTCTGTTTTCTCATATGTATGTCGTTTATATAGATGTCTGAGGTTCAACATTTAATGACAATCTTATGATATATCATCGAATAATCACCGATATTTAATCAGTCTTCAAAAGATGTTATGTGGATCGTTAGTTCTATAATAGATGTCAGAGAATTCTTTGTTTTTTTTTGTCTTAATTTGTTTAAGATTTGTAGATACTATGTATATTCGTTTGAATCCATGATGGTAGCAAGAGGTACAAATATGAAAAGGTACTTTTGCAATAGAAGAAAAAAACCATTGTTCCTATTTTCCAAAATTGCAGAATGGAATATGATTTTGGGCGACGTTCTAAAACACATAGGAGTAGTCGATGCTAGGGCAATTCATCGCAGGAAACATTAGTAATAAAGTATCCTAAATGATCATCATGAATCGATATACATGTAGGTGAATACGAATATGTCAAGGAAAGTATAAGAAAAGATCTTCATTCGTATGAGTACTCACACCTACACACCAGTAACGAATAATTCATCGCCGACGTAGCTTCTTCCAACTTCAAGTCAAGTCTTCTTGGCTTGCACGTTTTCTATGACGTTTATTTTTCTATTAATCTCGTTGTGTCTTTTGTTAGATTTTGAACTGTTTATCGCTAAAAAAAAGCTATTGTTCTTGCTATTGAATATGTATTTATTATCTTTTTTTAAACGTGAGCAAGTCATTTTTTCAAGTTATGAAAAAATCGTTTATAATTTCTTTTACGTAATGAAAATGTTTTCAGATGGAGCGTGATCTGGTATAGAGATATTTTGATTATAAAATTTTTAAATTATACTTGTTTTATCCATAATAATATCGGAAATAAGAGGAGTTTGCATTAAAAAAAACACTTTTTTGTCTCAAAAAAGACAACATTTAGGAATTATATGTTTTTATTTCAACAGAAAAAGAGAACAAAAAAAATATTTAGATGACACACGTGTTTTGGCGGATGAAGCTCTTCAACAATCTATTATTAGTATCTCTTTTTATCTGTGTCTTATTGTATATTTGCTTGTATAGATGATTGCTATAATGTTTAACTTGTAATATTAAATAGTTCAATTGATGTAAAAGAGTATATGGCTAATGTTTACTGCAGAATTTATGAATTTGATTATATTTATTATAAGCATTTTCATTCCCTTCCATCTCATCCACTTTTTCCAAAATATCTCTAAAACAAAAACATGTTTTCTTATTTCTTTTTTTTAAATGATTTTTAGAAAAAACAAAACGGTTTAGAGCTGAACTATGTCTTCTACTTACTTAACAAGTGATGTATGCTTATAAAGGTCACGACAAATAACCATAAAATAATTTGTTTCTGTTAAAGTATTTGCAGATTTTATCAAATGCATTACTGAACAACTCTTACGACATGGCAAATTACCAATACTACGCCATTCAACATCCTACTCGATAAAAGAAAATTTATCTTGATAGTTCGTTTTAATTAAATAGAATGATAAAGACAAATGCTTACATCAATTTCTTTTTTGTCTATTTTGAACTTCATATCTTTGGGTTCAACGGGAACAATAAAATAATAATGTTCGACAAACGATTTATCGACAATATTAAATACTTTCTTTTTTATAGGAGTACTATATTTTATCATATTATATATATATTTATAAGCTAAGCCAAGTTCTTCGGAAGCCTACAAAAATGATAAGAGATTTATTTAAAAAAATGAAAATGATAATTATTTATTTATGTACCTCACGGGCCGCACATTGCAAGATGGTTTCACCAAATTCTATTTTTCCTTTAGGAAATCCATATTGAGTACGATTATTTTTAATATATTTTGTAAGAAGAACCTACATAAAAATACATATTAATAATTGAAAATAGACTTTAGAAATAACAGACTTTTATTTTATTTAATTTTGCACGACAAAGAAAAATAATACCAGAGCGAGGACATTTTTCTCGTTCATTATACCACATATTCCAAATGCCTTTAGCAACTTTGATACTTTTAGGTTCTATTTCTGTCCAATCTATAAAATATAAATATGAAACATATACAATATAGAAGAAATTTCTTCTTTTGTATGAATTTTTACCGCTATCATTTTCGTTGTCTAATTCTTCAGCTGTAACTTTATCTTCAGTTCGTTCTTGACGAAATTCAAGTAACTTTTTTTATAATTTCTAAATTATTTATATAGAATAATTCTATTTATATGATCAATTTTTATAAAATAAATAACTTACTCCTTACGGCATATTGTTTTATATCGTCTGTTAGTTTATTTCTTTTCATTTCGAATGTCAGATTTGGATTATTAATTGGTTTATCGTATTTTTTAAAATATTTCTTGTTTATTTTAAATAGTAAGAGAAGTATTTTTTTAGATTCCTCTTTACAGTTATTCGTTTTTAAGCATAAATATTTCGAAATCGATCTATAAATTAGTACAAAATATCAAAACTTTATGAATCGTTTTTCAATTACTCGTTAAGCTTGGATTTCAGTGTTTCCGATGGTTGATATTTATCATTCTTATTAAAAGGCATGACTTCTAGTTATCTGAAAAAGAATTGACAACAAAAAAAGTACATTCATATAAGAATTTAATTTGTTATAAATTCCATTTACCTATGTATTCTGAGAAAATTATAGAAGTCAATGAGCGTATGATGTCATCATATACATATGTAGATATATGTAAGTAGTTCTAAAAGATCATGAGTAATGATGGAATTTTCCTACTCATCTATATATATGTCTTTTAAAAAATTTAAAAAAATCGAAAAAGATATGAGAATAGAAAACTTATCTTACACAAATATATTACGTGATCTACAATTTTAATTCAAAGTTCATTAAACATCAAATATTATAGAGGTCGCCAGTATTCCTTACTGCAGTTTAAGTCGTCTTAACAAACTTCAACCAAAAACAAGAAAGGATTTTTTTGGAGATTATAATTTTTGAATAGCAAAATCTGTTCGTTTTTATTTGTCTTTGAATTCTATGTGGTTCATAAATAACATGTAAAGCATAAATTTATAACGTTGTTAAGTTTCATTGAGTTATTTTCGAAACTAAAAAACATCAAGAGTGCTTTTAGATTATATAGTCTCTGCAGTAGAATATTAGCTGTCTTCTCTTTAATTAAATACACAGATATTCAAAACGTTACTTTACTTGTTCATGAAAATATTTTTCAAAAGTATTTCTTGATGTCGATGCCAAAGTCATCAGTGCATACATTACAGCTTGAACAAGTGAAAGTAAATACTTTGTCTAATACAAAAAGCAAATGCAGACAAAAGTTACAATTTAATTTTAAATCAAAGACTATTTTTTTTGTGGTTGTACACTTTATTTAAAAAAAAAGCATTCTACCTATAGTTTTATTTTGATTGTGAAATATACGTCGCTCTAATAATTAACTTTAATCTATACTGATTATTTTTATCAAAAAACAGTAGTACATGGCTTTCGCTTTGTCATTTAAAATAAGAGTAATCATATTATGTTTATTTTGAATTGAATATTCTCTTTTTTTTCTATTAATAGAACTTCATTAAGATTTACTAAAATGAACTCTATAGCAACATCGTTTTTTTCTAGTTTCATAGGATTGTTCACAACAGAGAAGATCAGCAGTGAAGCAAGAGGAATAGTTTTTTTTAATGGTTAATTGTCCTTCGAAATGAAAACAATGAATCATTTTTTTATTTCTTTTCTTTTTGGTGTGTGGGAAGAAAGAGTTGGAATTTACCAAAACAAAAAAAATCAACTTTGTTAATTGATAATGATCACATATTATATAGAAATTCAAAGGAAGGTGTTTATATATTTTCATTCACTTTCTATGTTTAAATATCATGAGTTTAGTTCATCTATTTAACTCAATCGAAAAGTTCTACTAATTCATAGACAAGATACATCCAATAGATCATTTTACAGTAAATGTTCGATGTAGTTATAATGATATTCAATATGAATTCTCATTGTTTTGACTTACTGCGGGGATAAATTTTCAAAACTAACATAAGATATTGATCTCAATCTCTTAATTTTTTTGCTGTATTTTATATGTGAATTTACTATCACAATATTGTATCTAACCTATAATCAAAATCATCGTAGGAGATAGAAAAAACATTATTATAAAGTGTCTTCGGCAGAATTTTTTGGTTTTATCAGTAACTTTAATAAATTGTTAAAACCAAAGATTAAAAAACTTTCATAAAAAAAATCCTTCGTATCATCAATTTATATCATCTTCCAGGATGGCAATTAAGAAGATGTGGATCAACGTTTTTGTGGATTTGGAGCTTAGTCTGAAGAGATCCATAGTTCTCTAATAGTAATGCGAACAACATTTGAAGAGTATTTTTTTTTTGAATTAATTTGCACAGTGAAAATGGTAAAACCGTGTATTGAATATCATGATAAATACTTCAAATATTTGTTATACATAGAGCGATTGTTGTTTTTTTGCTATGAATCGATTTCCTTGAGTTCTTACAACTTACTAACTGCGTGTAGAGATAATTTATTGTTGATTTAAATTTTCAAAGAAATAGATTTGTTGAGATCTTGAAATAAACTCGAAAAAAACAAATGCTTTACTTATTTTTGTAGATACTTCCTTTTTTTTAACGATTATCTTGTTTAAAGTAATAATCACAAGGATGATAGATTTATTCTATTAATAAAATATCTTGCACAATCTAACACCTCTCTCCATAAATAGAAGGTCATAAGCTTTTCAAAAACCGAGTTTTTGTATCATTAAAATTATTTTTTTCTAGTCATTTCAGCACTTTGTCTCTCATGATGTCTATGTGAATATCAAAAGTATTTTTAAAAAATCCTTGACTTTCTAGCTAAATGTTAGCAAAAAAACCTAACACAAAATAGAAGGGCATGGCTTTTTATTTTGAGGAAGAGGTCTGCATACATATTTTGATGACAAAATTCTTCGAAGACTTTTTCAATAATCTGTTTAGCAGAGTCTCAATAACGAGCAATTCTTCATTCCTGGTCACCTACAGCTAATTGTTCATAAGATTTATTATACATTAAATTAATTGTTCATTGAGCTAAATAAGTATTACGTGTAAGAAACATTGCTTGCTGACAACATTATATGACATTCTTCTATAAAATACGAAAATTTCCTACTTCGTTTTGTAGAAGTCTTCTGATTTGTTAAATTTAGTTGAATATAAGTGGAAATTCAATCTCAATATACATATGTGTTAAGAGTATTTCGATAAGACTCTGTTAGTGTAAACAGCCTGAAAAAAAGTATGACGTAAAATAGTTGAACAACGTTTAAAGTCTCTCATCCTCGCAATAAGTATTATCTCAAAAGAAACATTTCTATTGAATGTCGTTCAGTATTAAATTTGTTTCATTTTGATATGTTTATTATTAATTTGCTCTGAATTTAAGATAAATTTCTTTTCTTCAATATATTTTGATGAAAATTAAAACAATAGTTCCTTGTTTTTCTTTTGTATTCAAAAGTTATATTAGTTTAATAATATGTAATTATCTTTGTAGAAAATATAACCGTTCTAGATTATACAAAAAAATAGACAATAATAAAAACAAATTAAGTAGAGTTAATTATGTCCTTTATAAAGGTCAAGATATGACGAGAATTCTCGTTCGTCATATTTTCTAAATTTTGACTTCTGTGATATTATTTGTCGTAATTAATTTTAATATTTGAATTTGATCATATTTGATAAAAAATCTAATAATCAGATCAATGATTAATTGAATAAAACAATTCATTATTGATTATGACGACATAATCGATGCATATTATTATATTTTTGAGAAACAGTCTGATTTCCATTCATCTGGTTCATATATAATAAAATATCTCTAAAACAAAAATAAACGAGTATTTTATATTTATATGAAGCACATAATTGAGTCTACCTACTCAACAAGTGAATTACGATCATATCGATCGGTACAAGTTACCATAAAGTAATTTAGTTCTTTGAAACTATCTTCCAATTGCATGGACTGTTTTATTTGACATTGGTTACAGCATGGTAATTGGTAAACATTATGCCATACAACACCCTATTCAACAGAACACTATTAGTACAATTCATGCACGATTAAAATGTAGAACACGATGCAGCTGTTGTTGTTTATCATAACGAGGTTATTTTATTCTATCTTAGGTGCATACGTGTGATAATAAACTTTAATCACAGACGCAAACTCATCTTTTATCGGTTTATATGTAGTGAAGTTTAAGTCAGACATCTTCTTTTTCTTATCAAAAACATATTCATTTGAAATATGCATTCAAAAGTTTTTAGTATTATCAAAGTTCGGGACATATAACCAAGATCTTAGTAATGAGTACATTCTGGAATAGTAAACTCATATCGTAGTACTAGTTCTAAAACTAAGATAATAACCTTTTGAATGAGTAGTTCGACAAAAATATTTGTGACATTATGATTGAGATGGAAGATACGAATTTGTGGCCTCTCATCGTATATCAACAACATTTGTCATAGTTTGTCGAAGGAGAGGCGTTGCACATAAGTATTGAGTTTCAACAAAAATAAGTTTCTATGTAATCAAAGAATGATCCCTACTCAACTACACATCTATATACATTTCAAGTATTTCGAACGATGCTTCCAACGGCATATTATCCGATGACATTATCTCTTTTTATCATAGTGACATAAAGAGAAGAAATATGATAATTAAAATCTTGAAGTCGACTAGTATTTTTTTTTTCAAGAAGTTTTAATGAACTATGAACTCATTGTATGTAACGTAATAGAATTATACAAAGTGATATGTAGTAAATTTTCATTGAGGATTAAAATTTATGAAGCACCTTTTATACTCCTTTTAGATCGTGTTTCATAAAAAGAAAACCGTGATTATAAGATTTTTCAATTAAATGTAAAATAGTGTAAATATTTACATGAATTTCTTTTTCATTTGGCATAAGATGAATGTTTTTATTGGGTAGACGAATAATAAAATAATAATGTTCAATCCATGAATTCTCCAGAACATTAAATACATTCTTTTTTATTGGTTGACTATATTGTATTAGATTGTAAATAATTTTAGCATCCAAACCTAATTCTTCAGCACCCTAGAAAATTAAAAACATTCTCTTCAAATTCGAAAAAAAAAAGATATTTTATCAATTTACTTCACGAGCTGCACAATCTTTAATAGTTTCACCGTGTTCGATTTTACCTTTTGCATATCCATATTGAATATAATTATTTTTATAAAACTTTGTTAGAAGAATCTATAGAAAAATATCTAAATTGTCAAAAATATTTTTTCGAAAAGAATTTACTTCAGCTAAACCTTGTGTATCAAAATATGATAGGATAATACCCGCACGAGGACGACATTCTCGTTCATGACACCATATTTTCCAGATATTTCTAACAATTTTATCCTCGTTAGTTTTACATTTAATCCAATCTAAAAAATTAAAACATAAAATAGAGAGTAAATCATAAATTGATACAGTATCATAAAAAATATTTCAAATATTTTCACATCAATTAAATCAAACGAACTAGAATAAAAAATTTTTTTTCTTGATCTCACCTTGATCTTCTTTATTGGATTTATGTTTAATTCGTTTTTGTCGAAGTTGACGTAATCCTTTTAAGATATCTAAATTATTTATATTGATCAAATTTTTTCTATCATCAAATTTTTAAAAAATGAATAATTTACTTGGTAATGCATATTGTTTCATAGCTTCTGCTAGTCTATCTCGTTCTTCTTCAAATGTTAGATTTAGATCACCAGCGGGTAAATGTTCTTCGTTTTCATAAAAACCATAGTCTATTGTAGATAATAAGTCGACTAGTTCTTGATATTCTTCTTCTTTACAGTCCTTCGCTTGCACGTATAAATATTTAGAAATGCATCTATAAATTAATATAAAATATCAAAGTATTTTAGAAATTCTTTCAATTACTTTTTAATGTTGGATGTGAATTCCTTCGATGGTTCATATTCATTTTTATCATTGAAAGGCATGATTGATATTTATCTAAAATAGATGCATACGTTTATTGACTTTTTCTGAATAGGACGTACTTATATGAAAGATTCAATGAGCAGTTGGTGCCAATATTTATTTGATAAAATTTCCCACAATGACAAACGATACAGGATTTTTCCAATTTGTGCTTTTGTTGTTTTCTTTCCCCAGAACTTCTTCCAAATAAACTATTGTATATGTTACTAATCAAATTGAGTAAAAATAACTAACTTATATGCATTGTACAGCTTTTTTATAATAAGAAAAAATTTAATTGGATAGATCAAAATTAAATAATTAACATAACACGAGTTTGTTATAATAAAATCATCGAATATTTGAAAATAATAAATGACATTTTCAAAGAGGTGAAGATTTGATTTTTCAATGGTTACTGATTTTTTTTTAAGCAATAATAATGAATCATTCTTGTTATTTTACCGCAGGCGTCACATGCATGTGCAAACAACAGAGAATGAGAACTCTTTCAATGTATAGACGCCATATATTAAAAATAACATCAATCAAAGAAATGTATTCATAGATTTCCTTTTATATTCTGTTGATCTTGATAAGATTTTATGTAAAATACGACGTGCCTAACAAGAAAAGGCCACTAATTGTGACTCGCTAATGGAACTAATATTTTGCTCGTAAGCAGATCCTGATGAGACTAATAAGAGCTGCTTGTCAAGACTTCAGGTTAAAGTTGTTATTCTGATTCTTATGTTTTGAAGTTTTGTGCTTGGACTACTGCGAACATTGATTGTCAAACGTAAATGTTCTTACTTGTTCTTTACATTTTTGTCTACTTCTTATTTGTAGGCTTTAACTAAATGTTGTTTGTCCTATCATGTTTTTATTTTTCTCGATTTTATGAAACAAGACTGATATGATTAAAAAAAAATTGTATTAATTCAAACCTTTCTGTGTTGTTTCATTATTTTAATTAGCTACTTCGTATAAGAACTTGTTATTATCTTCTCTTTATAGATATACATTAAGTTAAATATCTTGCTGTAGATTAAAAATTCAATAAAATTGTAATAACTTGAGAAAAATAGAGCATAGGAACTAGTCTGGCCAAGATCTATACTCTGACAGAAACAAATCAGTTCGATTAGCGAATTATACTTGGAGACTTTCCTTCATAAATACATTCATATCTTTGAAATCACAATGTTTGATGATAATTTTCATAATCTTTTTTTAGATTATTTCTTTGTGCATGACAATTAATGAGCTTCACATAATGACAGTTTAACTATGTTTTATTTTTTATTTAAATTAAATGATCGGTTTTTTGACTCACAGTCACTAATATATTGTTTTTTTTTAATAAAAATATTTAATAAAATCAGTTTTTTTTTATTATTTTGATCATATCAAATGCCACAATAACTATAATTATGCATGTTTTTGAGTTTTCAACAATGGTGAACTGAAAAAGAGAAAAATTCAAATTAAGAATTAATAAGATGGCAACTAAAATTAAGAAAAAATCTACCCTGTACGTTCATGAGCTTCTTTCTCAAATGATCGTTTAACATTTGTTGATGATTGATCGGAACTCTCATCTGTTAAATTGTCATTTGCCGGCGATGGAGAAGCAGTAGGTTCTTCAGACGAAGTAGATTCTAGAAATAAAACTCATAATATATATATATATATTGAAATCTAAGAAACAAAACTCGCCATCAATCACTGAGTCAGAGATAACAGTTGATCTTGGATATGGAATCACATCATCGTTTGAGTAATCACATAGTTGCAACTGCACACGAAAACTGTTCATGTTGGCATATTTCAATGTTGTCGTTCGGGCTACTGTAAATAGACAAAAGTGAAGAACAGATGAATACAAATGTTAAAAAGAAAAATTTACGTACTTGGAATATTCGAAGATGAAACTGGCAGACCTTGATTTAATATGAAATCAGTTTCGCATCTCTCGACAATGCGTTTGGTAACGTTGAGTATTATACTACAAAAAATACCATCTGTGGATATTACATAAAAAAGTAACGGAACTACAATAAAAAATTTTAGATTCTTTTATTTTGATGAGCTTTTTCTTTCTATTTAACACAGTTCCCTAAAGTCTATTCATTTATTTTATGTATGATATTCGCTTACGATCATTTTTATGAAAATAAAATTACTGATTCACTTACCTAGCTTTTTGCTGATCAACATGAATTAATATTGAATCAACTGGTTTTTGACCATCCATAAACTTATAGTTTGGATGAATATTTGACTCTTGTTCACTATCGGTGACTATAATAGCTTTCAAACATTTCTTTTTCAATGCAGTACATGCATACATTTCTGGAATCTTTTCAAGACAAAAATAGTACTGCGGATATAAAATAGATAATAATAACTTACAATATATGATACTTGTAAATTAAATTGGTTTATATTTTGACGTGATAAAACAGGCGAAAATGTTACTCCTGTAATTTGTAATTTGTTTGGACTGTAATCATATTGATGCACTAGAACTGAAGCATTAACTAAATTAAAAAGAATATCTCATATAACATAGTACGCATATGATATTGACTTGTAATTTACCTGGTGTAAAAGCATTCGAACACCACAAAATCTTAGGTTCTGGCACAAAATCTTTTTTATGAGGATCCCAACGAGTGCGACGAAGAACGATATGTGCAGTATGTACTTTAAGAAGTTCGACCAATTTAGTAGATGTGACCGGTTTAGCATTTTTGTTATTCTTCTTGCTTTTTTCCTTTATTCCCCAGGATAATAGAGTTCCATGATCGATTTTAACCATGGTGCCTATAGATATAAGGCATATTTATATATATGTTGTAATGATTAAAAAAGCTTTTCAAAATGCTTATTATACCACAAGGAAATCGTTTAATTTGACATATTTCATTGTGTTGTTCATCTTTAGATTCGAACATGTCATTTTTTAATTTGCAAATAACAATGTTGAAACTGAAAATAAATGAAATAACTCTTGGATTCTTAAATGTAAAATATTTGCCTACGAGAAAAATTCGTCATTGATAATTCCATCTTTTTTCAAATCAAAAACAGTAGAATTTTCGAATGCAAAACCTGTATCCCTATTGCGAACAAATGCATAAGGGGCAAAATAAAAATGCCCGTCAGGACCTTTGAATACTAATGTAAATTCAACTTGAGCATTTGCAAATGCCGAAACTGGCTAAAAAAATCAGAAATTAATTATTATTATCCATGTCTCAACTTACACCAAAATGTAGCGATGTATTGTTCAAAGAATCTTTCAATTTCGGAATTCCTGTTCTGATATTCTTTCGGTTAAAATCGCTTTGCATGTAGATACGAAACATGGTCAGAATTGGATGCATTATGTATCCTAACCAATTGAAATCTAGTTTGATCAAACGAAAAGGAAAAATAGTTCATAAGTTTCAAATAAAACCTTTATTTACTAACGTCTATAAAACTAAACTAGTGTTATTACTTTTTTTTTTTGCTTTGAAACTTCTCGAAGGATGTAAGAGTGATGTGTGATGGTGAATGAGAAAGTTGTAAAGATGTATAATAGTGGGAATATGCATTACGGTAGAGTGAAGTAAATATTCTAATGCTGATCATCACTCCAAAATCATATCCGCACTCTCATTCAATCGATTTTAATCCATTAGTTCGATATGTCGATTATTTTTTTCAATAGAATATTGAATTGGATTATAAAGCGTGTAGGTAACCTTTTCCTGCAGGATAGAGTAGAGTTAGGTAAGACAAATATGGGTTATTGCAGAAGCAAGATGAAGAAAGTCCGTAGGATAGGTGTAAGGATATGAAATAGCTTACCCTCCAAATTCCAACTGGAGACCTAGCGCCTAAGAATAAAACCAACTGTTTTAAATATTAATCTCATTTTTCTTTTGTGCTATTTCAATCGTGTTTTCATCTATATGTATGAGCCAAGAACATTTCTCTCTAATGGGAACCAAATTAAATTAAGACGAAATTAATAAAATTATTGAAAACAACATACTTTCAACTCGAGTATTGAATGCCGTTGCCGAACATTGTTCGTTGCTAACTGACAGATCAACTGAAGAATCATCAGGTCTCTCAGTAGGTTGTTCGATGTTGTCAGATTCACTGTTTGCTACGCTATTGAAGTCAGCATACGTATCAGACCACAACTGACGAAACTGCACGACATCATCTTTTTCGTTTTCTGCAAACATAAAAACAGAAAATTTTATAAATAGCATGTAAACAATCGTCAATGACACTGACCATTTAGTTCTTCTGTAAAATTCTGCTCTGCATTATCATTTACATTTTCGAACGATGGCGTTGACAACACAAGATTGGTGTCTATAGACAAAAGAAAATAAGACAAGAATTAAAATATTTTATTAAATATCAGATAAAATTACTCTTATGTGTCAAAGTCCACGTAGACTCTATTAGTCATCGAAGTTTACTTTTATCCATAAGTAAACATCGTTTTCTTTTTATAGCTTTTCGGGCTCTGTTTTAAAATTAGGTTAAAGTCACATCGAGAAATTCATTTTTGATTTCATTTAAATCTTTGGTTTCCATCTCATGTGTATAAATACGAATGAAATTTAGTCTCAAGTGAGTCATACTGTTTATTGACAAATAATAAATTCTTTTAACGTTGTTCAATCTCATACACCGATATTTAATATTAAACTATATAATATTTGACGAACTTTAGTAAACTTACTGTCTGCTGTATTAAAATTGATTTCTTCGTATTTCTTCGTCATCCTTAAAAGAAATATAGCATGTTTAAAATGATGATTCGAAATTATGCACTTATATTTAATTACTTGTTTTTTTTCGCAGCTGAAAAAAATAAAAACGCAGCCGATGCATGCCTTTCATATACAGGTAATGTGGCCACTGGAAAAGTACGACTATAAAATATGTTTTTTTTATTCTGTTCTTTTGATTTTTTTTTTCTCTTGTGACACGACTTTACCTACACACAGATTTGAGCATATTCTGCAAAAGAACAAATAGTAAATGTGCACTTCTCTTATGTTACACATGGTTTTGCACACAGCAACATCGTAAATCAATCCCTTTTAGTGTGCAAAAATGCTTTTTGTTTTCAAGTAATCATGATTATTCTTATCAAAAACAATAGAATACTTGAAAGTTTTTTTCCTATGAAAACAACAAATTTCGAAGAAATGATCAAAGTTGAGTCATCCATAAGTATGTTATTGATAAACTAATCGAAAAAAATGTGATGCTTTATTATATAATGAAAAGTTTAAATTACAATGTAGATCCAAATAAATATAGCAGTAGATGATTGGCTTTGAATTATAATGAGAGTAATCATTGAAAGTTATTTACTTTGGGAGAACTTGTATTATAAGTTAATAAGATTAGACATATTCGAGTCAAAATAACGATCTTATCATCAAACTAGCATATTCAAAGTGCCCCTTGGCATTTCTAGGTCAAAATATTTTTATTGTAAGGTATTCAAATTTTAGTTATTAATATAAAAAAAACAATTTACGTTCAATTTTTTCTTGTACATTTAGTTAATTTTTTTATTTCTGAATGCAAAAAAAGCTTGCTTAAATTTTATACATCATTAGTTTCACATTAGCTATGATATTTTCACGAAGCTTAGCAGTATATTAGTGAACATACATGTACTTGGAGTTTGAACAACAACTTGAACTTAAACTGTCCATAGTTTTACTTCACCAGAATGTTCTTTGATTATCTAACACAATGAATGATTCACGCACGAGTTTTACGTATTTTCTAAAAAGAAAAAGAATATAAATTTGGTCAACAGATCTGAAAGAAGTTGATAATGTCAACTAACATCGTTGTAAGATTTTTTTTTAGCCAACGTACGGTGATATTTCAAGAATCAACAGAAATCTTTATTAATTTAAAGCATTAGTTGTCTTTCCAATTATTTCAAAATTCTATTAAAACTGAGTTCATACAATTGAAGACTACAACAAGCGAAAGCTTTAGTAAAATTGAGAAACTGAAGAATGTAACGTTTTGTTTTTAAGATTTTATTGATTCGTTATTAATTATGAAGAAGAAATATTTATAAGTCGAGAACTATCATACTGCTGATGGTATGCTGGTTTATATTAGCAAAAGATGAAGCCTTTTCAATTTAGTACTACTAACCATCGAGAAGACATTATAATTGATGTGACACTAATGATATACAAAATTAAAGAGAAATCTTCTAGATTCACTGACTAAAAAATGATTTATATCGGACAAATCGAATGTTTCAACTCAAACATATCTAGAGCAACTAGTACTTTAAGTTTATTTCTTTAGTCTTATTCATTTATAATACAAAACGTTCCAATACTAAAACCACAAATAGCATGACTGAAAGAAATCATCAAAAAACTATGTAATTAGCGATGAAATTTAACATATAATTGTAATATTGTGAATACTGGAGATATTCATACAAAAATATTTTCGATAAATTTTGGATTTTAAAATTTTTCTTTAGGAACAATTGACTTCATGATCTTTTTTTCTTCGAATTTATTAAATGAATAAAGACAATTAGCATGTGATAATTTGATTCTATTTTAAAAACAATTACACTTATTGAAGAAATCAAAGATTTGTATGTGACATATAGAAGTTTTATGACGAAGATTTTTTCTAATCTAGCAAGATGGTAAAATAATAAGTAATTATCAATAAACTATACCAGCATTTATGTACATGGCTTACAAGTGTACAAATAGTGAAACAGTTTATTTTATCAAATATAGTAATCATATTAAGTGAAAAAAATAAATACATCAGTTTTTGTTTATAGTGCACCAAGTACGATAATATTTTCGAGTTAATCTCTGAAAGCTGAATGCATAGATACACTCTTGAATATCTATAAAAAAGAATGGCTTTTACAGGAAACCAACACAGGTAGACATCAGTAGATAAAGATGAGAAAGAGTGAAAATATTTTCTATATGCAGTAAGTATTTTACATCAATTATATTATGATCGAAAAATTTCAATTTATATTGATAAAATAATTTTTTGAAGTTTACAATTGGATTGTTCTTTTTTTTTTCATCACACAGATAGTTACAGAAAAAGAAAAGAAGTTAAAGTGCTCTCTTCGTTCATACTTAAAATAGATAGATTATTATTCAGAATGCTCAGTCTTAAAGTATCTCAGCTTTCTAAAATGCTACAGCGTATATGCAAATAGTTTCGCTATAATTAGTTTTACGATATGTCTTACATATCTGTCAATTCATCATCTTAAAAAAGAATCTATCTATGAAGTATGTTTTGCTGCAAAACTGAACGGAGCTAACATTTGACATAAAATAAATATTTTATTATAGAATATGTATGTGTGTTAAGCGACTCGCATTTTGAAAAAACATTTTGGACATACTAAGAAAATATGAGAGCACAGCAAAAAAAAACTCATGTTTTTCGATGGTGAGACCCGTTGTTACAATCGTTTTCGAATTCGGTATCGTGTAAAAGTAATAGTTTTAGAAAAAGATTCTGTCAGATCCTTCACTTGAGTATGTTTTATATAACAAGTAAAAAACAATATGTATTGGTAATAAAATCTCAAATAAAATATGCTTTACACGACGAACTATATATGAGTCAGATGAATAGCTTTTAAAAAGGGTACATTAATTAGTGGAAAAAAAGCTATCATAACCTCTCGATGATAATTACTTAAAATCTCAAGCGAAATTGAATAAATATTTAAAAAAAGCCGGTTTTTAAGTAGAGCGAAGAGATCTTAACATACTTTTGAAACAAAAAGAAAATTCAGCTTGAATACAATGATAAAGTTAAAAAGAAAAACATATTTTTTATTTCTTCATTAGACATATTTTTGCTTGAATAATATGAATAGCATAATGTTTGTTTAATAACAACTATCTTCACTTGACTGGCGATCTAATTCGCTGGCCGTTGATTGACTCAAATCAGATGTATCTTCTAAAGAGGTAATACTTTCTGATTTTTGAAAACCATCTTGTTTGAGAGCAACAACATTTTCAATCTCCGTCATTTCATTGAGTGGTGATTCTGTTAAATAATAAGAAACATAATTCATTTAATCGTTGAAAATATGTCTCACCAGTTTGCGTTACAGCCGATTCTTCAGTAGCGCAATTTGCTTGATCCAATCGATTATTTTCTGCAACATGGATACAGACATTTCCATCAGTTGATAACGTTTGATCTAATCAAACTATTGTGATTAAATGAAAGAAAAAAAAAACGTTTCACATACCTTTTGCTTCATTATAATCAGCTGGATGCTGTTCATCATGGTCATCCAGATGAATTACTGAACCTAAAATTCGATCTAAATAGGAAAAAAAAATACAAATCACATTAGGTTTATATTATCAACAAATCATAAATTGTTATAATAATTTTTTTATGAAAAGACTAGATAAGCATACCTCTTTTATCACTATTATCTGATACAATCAAATCTTGCGTTTCGATGGAGTCAGACGAGTTGTTGTTATCTTTGCAATTAGAAATACGAAACAATCAAGTTAATTTGGTTCATATTGAAAAATATTATTGCACTTACGTATTGAATCATTAATAACAATTGATCTTTCATCATTCTCGTTATTATTTTTAACTTGAGGTTGTATGTCTAAATAGTTATATCAAATATTATTTATCTGGAAATATTAAAATAATAGCTAATATATGTTTTCTTTTTGAAACTGAAACAGTATTATTGACATGTATCAGTATCTAGTGGTCGACCTTCAATAATATGAGTATATTCATTATTTATAATAAAATAAGTCTGTCATGTATTGTTTAAACTCATTATATAAATAGTTCCTTCTGTAAAAACGATATATCAAAACTCAATTAGCATATAATATTCTTTTATTATTTTGCATGTTGATCTTAACAAGAGACAACTGATCTAAACCTACATACAAAGTTAGACTACATTTGTTTTGTTTCAAGAAAATTAGACATGTCTAGTAATTTAAAAGATCATTCGGTAAAAAAAATGCATATTTGTTTAGTACGTCTTGAAGTACAATGCCAAGATATGAAAAATTCTAACGAAGATGAAATAACTTTATCTTTATGCGTTCAATGAAACTGATAATTTATCATCAGTGCAAAACCTATCGTGTACATGAACGATCATGCACGAAGTTCTGTGAAAACCAATGAATGGTTCGTAGAATATGTTGCACCTTTATTCTCTATTTTTGAAGAATTCAACAGTCGTTCAGATTTCAGTTTTGATTTCGCTCGATAGAAAACTTAATTTTGGATAAGACTGTCGTATTTGTTTTTTGGAATGATTCTTCAATTAGAGATTTAATTGAAGAGATTAAAACCTATTATTTTGTCAAACTGAGAATTGCACACTACAAGATAAAGAAATTTTTGCTTTACATGGTTACGTTCTTAGCATAATTTTGAGTGTTGTTTTCTACAGGAGACAAAAAGTTACGAACTAAAATTGAAAGGTATTTTTTAGAATACTACGAAGATTATCTTATGATAAGTAAAACTTGTACTATTGGATACATAAGTCTATTCTGAATAAGATAGTCTATGTATTCACTTAAACATTTAAGGTATTTCAAACAGGTTGTTTTTCCTCAGTATACAAAACTTTCATTTGACAGTTACTATTTTATGATACTTTAACATAGTCGATAGCTGGTTGTTTTTCTTTTTCATCATCATTTGTTACTGATTCAGATTTCGGATTAACATCATCTACGTAATAGATAGATATTTGCCTTTCTTGTTTTTGTTTGAAAAAGCTAACTTACTATGAGTAGGTTCTGATTGATTTTCTTGTTGAATAGCTTTCTGTACTTTTGCAATAGCTATTTCAAATTCTTGATTATTTTTCATTGAATCATGAAAATGATTAATTGTTAATAAATTCTCAATATATTTCTTTAAATTCTGTTGATTTTTAAGTGTGATTTGTAAAATTTGAATTTGTTCTCGAATTAGATCTTCATTAAATTTTACCATATAATCGCTCCATAAAGCTTTCAATTTGTTTTGATATTGAGGTCGTTTTTCAACATATTCATCATGTTCAGTTAAATGAGCACGACATACCAATTCGTAACAATGATGTGAACATAGATATAAACGTTTTGGTTGAGGATTGGCCCCTTTTAAACATAATTCATCTTGACATTGACCGATTAATTGAGACATTTTTTTTCGTTATCTTAAAAGAAAGAAAAAATAGTAAAAATCAAAATAATTCTATTTTTCAAATATGAAAATAAAAAAACAATTATTTAATTATTCTCTTTTTGTTTTTTTTTCCAAATTTTAAACATAGTTTTGAATTCATGTACAACTTTTTCTGCTCTTGATATTATCATTTGACAAAAACGAATTAAATGATAAGTTAATGTATATGCAAATTGTGGTTTTATAATTCGACAATAACGTTCAGATGATTTATCGATAATAACAATATGGTTTGATAAAAATGGAAGTTTGTCAACAAAATTTTCATTATTTTTATAATTGGATACAGTTACATTATGAAATTCAATTAAATGACGATATAATACTTGATGATGTTATTCACAAAACCATAAAAACATCCCATGATCTCTTTTTGTTAAGCCAAATGCATCATCAAACTAAAATGGACATTTATTAGATACTTTTTGAATTGATAGAGAATTGTTCTAAGATGAGAAAAATAAAATAGATGAAAATTATAACGGAATATCGATAATGATTTGCTGATATTGAACTTCAAATTTTTATGATGAATTGGTAGAATATTTTTTTGGGATCCAAGAGACCAGTGTTTCTATACGAATTTTCTTTGTCATTCGCAGTTGTCAATATTCTTTAGATGTAGAAGGACTGAAAACTCGGCACAAAGTGCTTTGATACTGATCATGAGAGTATAGAGAAAACACTTGTGATCCAGTTTGTACTACTAAACTGTTTGTTCTAGAATCCTATTCATCTCGTAACAACATTATCTGCCAGAGAGAGATAAATGGTATTTCTAAATCCGGTTTTCTGTCTAAAGTTACTATCGATATATGCGAACTTGGAAGAAAGTATTAAAAATTTTAGCCAAAAATCTTCTTTACACTTACACTTCAGAAATTCAAGGTAACTAAGTAGTATTTTTGTATAAAAGGGAACAATATCTTAATTTATTCTTGATACAGTGTTAGTGTGAATGTATCGAAGCCTTGTTTCTCTCTTAGGTTTTTTAAATATAAATATTGTTAAAAAATAATTTTTGCCGGTAGGAAAAATTTCTCTTCATTGGGGGGAAGTTTTCTACTTTAGTAATAAGTACTGGAACTCTCTTTAGTATGTCCGATTCTTAATTGTTCATAATCTATTTTTAATTATAAAATATTAAAATTTATGGACACTAGTTTTACAACTACTTACCTAGCACAGCTGTTGAAGATGTGAAAGTTTCATAGCTTAGATCTGTAACAGAAGATTAGCATCTCGATCAATACGACAATCACTGGTTAATTTTAGATTCACGCGATTGCGTCGTAAGTAGAAATTTATTAGTCAGTAATAAGCATATAATAAATGCCAAAACTAATAAATATGAATATTGATACCGTAAAACAAGAAACAAGATCATTATTAAACCAGTCATTATTGGTATTGATGTCTCTCGATGATTATTTTGATAAATAGTAGATCTAAAAATTTGTTGACTTGTAGTATCATTACTTGAAACAACAATTTATTCACAGCATGAACTATATATGTAATTTTGTGTTCTAACAATGACGACAAATTTTTTGAATTATTTCATAATGTTTTTCTATCAAAAAAGAATAAGAACTCCATATTATTTTCTATTTATTTTTGTAGTTCGCTACAATCATAGATATTGATCATGTTCGTTCTCCTTCTTCCTTCTGGGTCACTAAAGAAGTATACTTTATTAGAAAGAAAAAGAAAAGAATGTTATCGTAAGCGTAAAACGAAAAAAAAAAACTCTAAAAGATATTGCCATGTTTTTAGAACAAAACAAAAATAAGGTTGGAAAAAATAAAAACAAATGATGAAAAATCTACAGCAAAGTGGGTAAAAAAATTTCTCCATTCTCTCATGAGTACTTCGTTGTAGTATAAGTGAGTTCTGATTGATAGAGACCAAATTATTATCACTGTCATACAAAATCAAGAAGGATCTCCTGTTTTGATACTTAGTTTGATTTATATAAAAGAATATTTTGAAAATATAAATAAAAAAAAATTATGAACTATATTTTATAAAAATGTATTGAAAAAAAAACTCTTCTTTGTCATCAATAGATATCTTGATTTCATTTTCAGAACGTGTTAAATAAACGTGAATGTAGAGAATTTATCGTGATTTCATGTTAAAGAAAATATCAGCATTTTTACACAGATGAATCGCAATGATAAAACATTAGTGAAATCAGTAATTGTTGGTCTCCATCTTGATTCTAGCCAAAAAATTTGATTCCATGATCGGTACTGTCTTTCTCATATCTAACTATAACTTGTCAAATCAGCAGTATATGTTAAGTCTTATGTCTATATTTATTTTTTTTTTCTTTTTCGTCATAAAAAAAAGAACTGATCCTATCTTCTGTAAAAACTTAAAGACTCAATTTCGATATGAAATTGATAGTTCATATGCACTTAAGTATCGTTAAATAAAATTAAAATAACAAAATATTCAGATATTAATGGTGCTGCAACCTTCATTAAATTCGAAAAATATTACCAGTCGATAGAATCCGAAAACCTCTATTCACAAGATATTACACCTAGAGATATAGCTAAGGATGGCTTGAATGAGATTGGTCGAAATGATATTTGATGTTTTCATCAACACCTTTTCAATGCTATAACTTGACATTGTGTGTCCTTAATGAATATTTGAGACGTTTATCCATTAGTAATATCATCGAGTTCAACAACAGCTCGAACTTATTTAAATAATACATAAATATTAATATATCGTCTAATATTAGAATCAAAAGTCGTTTGTAGGTATCTATAGTATGTTTTCTTTTTGTATCATGAATCACTTTAGAAATCTTTACATAATTAACTTTATCCGGTCGGATACTCGATAAATCCTTAGTAAACTTACCAAGCCATCAAAACATGATGTGAGAATCACATCTTGAGAAGAATATGTTACAACAATCGTATAGTTAAACATTTGTGTTTTTCAATTGTCTGAAATGGAGATTTCATAGGCTTAAATGTCAGATTTTGATTGAAACACTAAAAGAATGAAAAATTTCTGTAGATTTAAGCAGGGTAAGGCTATAAACATTTAATATTCGTTGGATAAATATACTTACATTTTTTGTACATGATTAAACATAAAAACTTAAAAGTAACCGATTTGTTTTTTCATGTGAAATATTAGTTTCAAGAAGAGGAGTGTAATGATAGTAAATGCTACTAAATTATATACATCTAATGCATAAAACGTCAGATAAAAATTAGATATTGTTACTTACAGTGAAAGGGCACATGCTGTTGGAACTGAGCATCTGTATGCATATGCAGTAACTATATATATATGTAGTTATATGGAATAAACCATCTTTCTATTCAAGCAACATCCTCTTGTTCTGTTCTTCCACCTACACTAAAAGAAAACTACTTTTATCTTCTTTTTAGTGTAACAGTAATTATTATTAAATGTATTTTACTGCTGTTAATGTTGTAATGTTGTCAAGTATACTGAATATTTTTAGTCGCTTACTTATCTTATCGGTAAGTATAAATTCTATAGTTAGGTTTATATATTTGTTTTTACCTGATATCAATATATATTTTGTAATATATTCAATGACGTTGTTGTACAATATGAGACTAGAAAAACAAAAATAAGAAAAAGAGCAAAGAATGAATTACTTCACTAAATAAGATGATGATAACAGTAATCATACGACAAAAAAAAACTAGACATTTTCTTTTATCCTAATATTCCTGTTAGTTGTCGATCGCGGTGAAAGACAAAGAAAAATTATGATATCTGATATAGATTAAATTTCTTCACAATAAATACCTCCTTATGTTGCACGACGAGCGAACATTGCTGGTTTAATTCGTAATAACGGTCTTTATCATGTAAGCAAGAAATATTCTGTAAATCACTTACGCAATGAGAAAGAAAAATGACGTTATGAGTACTGCATTGTGACAAACAATCGTGAGACACTTATAAGAGTAGGATGGACTATTTTGTTGATTTTTGTATTAAATAGCTAAGTAGATCAAATGATATCAACACATCTTTATTTGTTTCTGATTAAAAATGTTGAATTCATAAATTGTTGAAAAGGAAATCGAAGAAAATTGAGATTCATAGAAATATTAACATAATGGTATACATTAATACTTTATTTGATTAATGTTATGACTATTGTATATTATAGAGTTATTTGTCTTTAATGGTCAATATATGATTCTTTTGGATTATATTATAGAAGTAGTATTTTTTTTTTAATAGCTATTTATCACTTTCGTTTTTGATGTATCTTCTTATATATACTAAAATGGAATGGAGGCTTACGACTTAAAGCTATTCGGTTAAAAATTTAATAAGTGAAGAATATCAACAGATGATGACTTTCGATTTTCAGCAATGAAGACTCATTTTTTCGGATAATAAATAGGATAAATCAATTTGAATGATGATCTTCTCATATCCTAATGCTAAATAAATAAAATTATGTATTTATTGGATCTAATAATGTATTATTTTGTTAATTTTTTTCAAAAATCATAGGTTTCAAAATAATTTCAGGCTAAATATTATCGAAATAAAAAGATATCCCTATATCTCAAGTCTTACGCCGATACTGGTCGAAGAGCCGTACCTCATAACTTTCAAAATTTTTATTTTTTCAACTACTTCTATATCGAACAACTATGACATCTGATAATTGATCTACATATATTTATTAAAGAAATCGTTAAACAATTTCAAACAGAAAGTCATTCGAAATATGACAATCAACAAATGCACCTTGGCTACGTGTTTATAACATTGTACAAAAAAAAAGCCTGAACAGATATTGTATGGTTCACCAAACATATTAAAAAATTATAATATTGACTTGAAGATTTCAACAGGACACATATCTTTCAAAACCTATTAAATCAAATGAAACATATCGTCCTCATTATTTACAGAATTCTTTTTTTCTCAGGAATTTCGAAAAAATCACTTTAGTTACAAAAATACGAAAATCAATGGCATCTTCGTAAAATAGTCTCCTATAAACAACACAGGTTTAAAGTTTTTTTGTAGTACATTCACAAATATTACTGCATAGTTTTGACAAAATTTGACTTGAAGTAAGATCAAAAAACGCATTGTATCGGATTTATTTTCATTTATCGCATGTTTTAATATATTTCATAGCTTATATAACTTCTGAAATAAAATTTGAAAAAAAAATATCTTGATTTACAATTATCAACTTGTTTTGTGAGAAAATCTACTATAATTTAGAATCTAACTGATTGCTCAACTAATTATCGATAATATCATACACGTATAATATTTTATTGATTAATACAAAGAAAATAAAACATTAATATCCTACATGTAAAAGTCTAATCTAAAATCATTAAAAGGTGTTAAATCAAGAACATCTTTGTTTAAAGAATGAAAGATTTCTAATCAGTTAAAATAAAGATGTACAATGAAGAATAAAAGTTCAATAGTATTACTTACGACCTGAATATGCGGAAAATTGTGTTTGAGCATAAATGCAAACTGTTTGAGATTTTTATATAGTGTACTGATCTACTTTCAATTCCTCTACTGATCAATAACGTTATTTTTCTCGTTTCTCCGATTTCTAACTATGTTGTGCAAGAAGTAAAACAATTTACGACAAAAACTTGAACTATAAAAAGTAAAGAAAAAGAAAAACGTCACGATTACATAGCAACTCGGGCATACCCCCATTTAATGTTGAGTATGACGCAGCGTTTCTAATAGAAATATAAAACAAAGACTTCGATTACTTTCTACTTGTACAAGCAATGTGCATTATTCGATTAAATTAAAAAGAGATTTTTTCGTATAATCCTTTAAATAATCTATGAAATTATTTGTCAAATGGATTTCATAGTCGAAATTTTCTAATTGAGCTATGAAAGAAAAATTTTTGAAAAATCAAACAACGTATTTTTCAAGTTCTTGCAGACTGCATGAAACTGAATTTTTTAAGAGAAACATCTTAAAGAGCAAAAAACCCTGAGTAGAATGAAACATCACTGGATTTCCTATGTGTCTTGCTTTGACAAAAAACTTAGAAACTATCATGTGTTGTTTTGCAGAATTCTTCCTTCCATAGTTCACATATGAGATTTTGGTACAAAATGAATTCGACAGAGAACTTCATTGTCCATTCGAAATAACTGTTATTCAAAGTTGAGTTAAATGCTTGATTAGTACTAAATAATAATCGATGTATGAGATGTGAGTGTTGATCATTTCTACAATCATATCCATATCCTTATTAAAACATGCTATGAAATGTTCCATTAATAAAATATCATGAAGATATTAGCGATATATGAATAAGAGCACAATTATTACGTGGATTAGAAACACGAGCAATACTTTCAGGTATCAATGAGTCGAGTGGAATTTTAACTGCGTTAGTATCGAATCGTTCTAATAATGGATGCAAATATAAAATTTAAGGATTTATTCAGGTAAATAATTAATACCAAATTCTAAAATCTTGAATTGTGAATGATATTTTATGTACTCGAATAGTTCAACTATATATAGAGTTGACTTGTTTTTAATCAACTTAAACATTACTAGCAATCTTTAACTCAATACCTATTGTGAAGTTTTAAGCAAATCTTATTCCACAATTATGTATTTCTTAGTATAAAATTTGAGATGTAATTCATAAAAGACAACAAATATTGTGTGTCGTGGATGAGAACTTATTTTTTCCATGATGATATTCAAAAAAATGCTGCACATTTCACTGTTTGTGATTGTACTGATCTAGAGTTGTTGTTAATAATCAATATAATTCACCCATTCTCTGACTATATTTTTATTGAAAGATATCCAATACTCAAGCAGATAAGAATTGTCAAAAACTAATATTAACGCTCAAGAAGCTGCATTTTTGAGTGTTTCAACGAATCTTGTTTATCAATGTGAAACTACGACGAACACCCATCAGAAAGCAGATTTAATTATTCTGTCAATTTCTTTTCATATTTTATCGATCACGATTCAACAAAATTAAATACTGTAAATAAGACTAGAACCACCAAAAACTAATGATTGCACATGGGAACTCATCGGAACGTCCAAGAATTATACAAACTTGAAATAATCAGTCGAAAAATCTTGAGACTTAACTTATCCACTGCCATAAATTTCATGTGATACTCAGAAGCATATCTTCCGAACAGATGACCCGGAGTATTACAGTATATTGTTCATTGCTGAAATCGATGCAGTTTGAAGATATCCGATATTTCTCTCTGGACAAAATATTATAGCTGCTCAAAAAAGACAAAAACCTAGAATGCCGCCACAGAGATGCTTCTCAAGCGTCTGCCCCTGTGTTTGCCGGAGGAGACAGTGTAAATTGATTGATGCAGAATACGAAAACCAACATGCTTCGTAAGGCGAGTAAAGTGAATTTTCAATAATCAGATATGTGTTCAAATCGTTAAGGAAAGATCTATAAAACTGCACAAGGCCTAGACTTCTATGTTTACTCGTTTAGGAATTATAGGTATTCTAATCGAAATTCTGAGCCAATTTTTCTATTAATTTCTGTGAAAAAAAATCACCTTTTTGTGTTTTTCTTATTTCACGAGGAACTAATTTTTCGGCACTTTGTTAGAAAATTGATTAAAAAACCATCGTAGAAAAACCTAATATATACGATTCAATGTGTCTTGGATGGGTGTGGGTGTTTCGTTTCTTCATCCGCAGCCACACTAACACCCGCATTCATACTCGCACCCCCACCCTTTTATTCATTTTCAACTTGTCTTTGAATAGAAAATAATGCTGAATTAGTGATTAAGACAATTATTTTCTGGTGCTATATCAGCAGTTGATATACATCTATCTATTGGTAGAAATAAGAAAATTGTCGATTCAGTGGCATATATAATCACGAGATAGAGAAGAGAATGGTGTTTGGTGAGGACGAGAGAGGCGCGATGAATGTGCCGTCAAATATTCTTTTCCTTGCGCAATAACAACGCATTTCATTGTTTTTCTGTCTGTTTGTTCGTTAAAAACAGGAAAAACAAAAAAAAATGAAGTTTTCTATGCAGAAAATAGAAAAACTACGACGAAATGATGTTGCTCTGATTCGTAACAGATTTTCCTCTGTTGTTTGTTTCAACTTCAACACAGTTTGCCATTGGATAAACAGCTTGAGTTTATAGGTAAAATAATTCGCTTATAAAACATTCATTTATTTTATTTGATTTATATTAAATATTGAACACAATTCATCGAACAAAAAATATCAGAAATAATGTTTAAAAAGAACTGCTTAAATAATATAAAAGTTTTTGTATTCAATAGATTAAATGATCTGTTACGTACAAATTAAGTTATGTATCGAGTGCGAATGAGATAGAAAAATTGAACAATGTAGAATTTTTGTCATTCACGTCCGTAACATCAGTGTCGAAAGATGTATCTGATGAATCCCTCATGACATAGTGATTGCCATAGCCTGCTACATAGGGAATCTCGAAACTTGCGCACAGATTGTCTGCGCACCACATAAAAGATTGATATTTATACTCCAAAAGATAATGAAAATTAAAACAGATAGGAACTTGGAATCACGATGATTCAAACTAAATTTAACTGATATGCTGTTTTTATGAGCGATTTATATTGGTCGAAAGAAAAATATTTATTATATTAAAATGTTCATAGATTTCATTCAATTGAAAACTGTTCAAAGTTTGAACAAGCATAATTAAAAATGAATCAAACGGATAATATTGTTTTCGAAAACGTACATATCCTCTCTCGGGCTGACTGGAATTTTAATAGCGTAAGAATTTTTGTATTCGATGGTTCGAACGATCTACGATATACAAATTGAGTTGATTATCGAGTGCCAACGAAGTCGGAAAGTTAAGAAGACTAGAATTGTTGCCAGCTATACCAGTCATGCCAGCAATGGTTGTACCATTCGATTCACCAACTGGAAAGAATTGAATTCGATGATTTCTTCTATCGACTACATACATATTACCCATCGGATCGAGTGTCACATGTGAGGCAGAATAGAGATGTGTCGATGATGTACCATTTGATCCATCAATGCTGCCTGCAACAAGGGTCCAATGACTAGCACCTAATACCCAACGAACAATATTGTGAGCACCTGTATTTGCAATAAGAAGGCTATTCGACAATGAATCAAAATGAACAGCCTGAGGTATTGATAGTTGTGTATTGTTTATTCCATTACCATTTCCACCAGCAACTAGCGTACCTGAAGAATTGTTAGGAAAAAAACGCATAATTCGATTATTGGCAGAGTCTGCTATGTAAATTGCACCTGAACTTGCATCATGTGCAAGACCGAATGAATCATTCAATTGATTCATTGAACTACCAGCAGTACCTACATCACATATACGGATATTAGAATTTGAATTGTAAAGTAAGAAAAAAATGATCCACTCAAAAAATGAACTACAATTTCACTGCTGAGTATAACTAAAATAACAGAGTGAAAATATTCTGAGATAATTAAAATATACTATAGCGATTGTATGGTAAAGTGTCTTACTTACCATTACCAGCAAATAATGACGGAGACAATACACTACTCGGCCAAAACATAACGCGACTATTGCCGTTATCAGATACATAAATATTACTATTTTCGTCGACAATAATACCTAAAGGTCCAAGTAAACCATTTAAAGTTGAACTGCCTGTTCCATTTCCATGGCCACTAACTGTTGTACCTGTCGACGTGCCCATCAAAAATTTCTGAACTCGATTGTTTTTTTGATCAGTAATATATAATGCATTTGACCAATCGAATGCAAGACCCCAAGGAAGAAACAATTGACTAGTAGTATTTCCTGAATAACCTGTTGTGCCGATTATAGTAATACCAGTTGAATTCCACTGCAGTAAAGGTGTGTGAGCTAGAAAAGAAAATTCTTTCATATTGTTCTGTCAGAACAATACAAAATATGGATATTGAGTTTTTAACTTAAAAAGTTATGGTTCAAACAGAATATAAAAAAGAAAAATAGTGCCTTACTAGTAGCCGTTTTTTTTGATTTCACCAAAAATAAGGAAAGTAATACACTGAGAAGAACAATAACAATAATTACAGCAAGAATTGTAGAGACAAGTACGTGTTGTCTTGTACATCTATATAATAATATTAAAAGTATTCAAGATTTTGATTGACACTGAAAACTTACTTTTTAGTTTTATTTTTCTTTACATCTCGATGATGATCATTCGTAGCACCAATATGATCAAACCACGCATTTTGTCTCTGTATAATATTAAAACTAATATATAATAAAAATGAAATAGAGGACTTATTACTTTGGCATGATTGCCATTATTGGTAAAGATATTCTACAACGATAAATACATCACAAAAATAAAAAACATGTTATTTTTTTTTAAGAACTGAGATTGGAAATTACATCATGATGAGCCACTTTAGATGATCTTTTTCTATATTTTTCACTTTTGGAGATTATTTTACACATCTTGCTTTTGTTGTCTTGTGAATACTTACTGATTTTTACAGAAGATTTAGTCATACTGTCGCTGTTACATCTTTTTCGACTAGACTGTAAAGAAAAAAATTATACTATTGAGAGTTAAATAGGCACAAAAGCTAACTAAATGTAGGTTGTTGTTACTCTTAATAGAGTTATCATTGATAAGTGGAATGTCACGAGTCGGTCCAATAGTAATATGAATTATTTTTTTACATCTTATCTTTGTTGTTGATTGATTGTGAATTGATTGATGATGATGAGAATGGTTTTCAACACGAGTCCCATTTAAAATTAGTATTCGATCACTCATTTTTGCAAATTCTTTTCAAATGCAGCGCAATAAATTCTGTCTTTTTACTATTCGATGAAGTAACGGCAGATATATGCTTTTAATAATGCGATACCTTAATTAAATTATATACAACAAAAAAATATGATTTTTCATTTTTTCATTGTGCACTCATAAAAGTATGCATCGAAAAAAAAATTTCATATTCAATCTATTCTTTTACGAATATAAATTTATGCGAGTTCAGTAATTATACGAAAAGAAATCGGATGAAGTATTGTATTTGGATTATCTATCACAACATACAGTGTGATCAATGAATCGAAGAAAAGATTTCAAATGATATTGGTTTTTACTGTTTGATAAAAAAGCCTTTTCTTTCATAAAACTGTCTCTATTTCAAAATTATATAATTGACTGCAACCTAGACTTTACCTTTTTGCGTTTGGTTGTCGTTTTCTGAAGATGATACTTCACTCTGAAACAATATATTTTATAGTTAATAAATAATTTGGCGTTGAGTTAGATAAATATATAAATTTTCTACATTCTGTAATCATGTAAGAGATGTGTTTCACAATCTAATATTAGAAAATATTCTCCACAATATTTGATGGAGCATCGTTTTTATATATAACTGAATAGAGGTTACATCTCCTATAGCCCGTTGTATTAAAGTTGAAGAAACAGAATTAGGCCGTTATTTACCTTTTCTTATGTATAAATTATGCATTATTTTTTAATTTAATGTATAAATTAAATCATAGAAAAAAAGAAAAATAATATTAATACACACCTTTCTATAGCTATGAGAGTAAACATCATATACAATAACTTCATCAGTCTTGACAGGTTTCACATGAAGGCCACTGTAAAGTTTTCAAGAAGAAAAAT